ATAGTTTTAGAGTGTGATCAGGGGTGGACCTACCGCCGGTGCAGCTGGTGTGGCCGCACCAGGGCCTGGGGGGGGGCAGCACAGTCCCCTGCTCAGAGATGGTGGGGTTGCCATGATGCCGGATAGCATCAGATCGGTATCCGGCGGCCATCGGGCCAACAATCTCTGCGCCGGGAGTGTCGGATCATCTGTTCATCCGACACTCCCGGCGCTGAAATGGGGGGTCGCTGGATACGGAACCCTGGGGATGATGTTATGGGGCTTGCCAGCCGCCATGTGCTGAGGGAGCCAGGGAACAAAGCAGGTGCAGCCATGGGGCCTCGGACGGCTGTGAGGACCCAGCAAGCAGCACACAGACACTGTTTTTTTTTGTCTGCAGCCTGAGTCCCCCACCAGGAAACATCTGAAGACAGACGGCCAGCCAGAAGAGGTAAGGGTAAATAATTCATTAAAATTATTATTATTTGTAGCCTAACTGATGTTATATAAAGTACTGCTGGTATTTGTAGTGATCTGTAGCAGGTGCCATTCTGCATTGCTGTAAATATGGATGCACCCATGGCCAAAACTAGGGGGGTGGGGCAGTTATGTGACATGTTTTTTGTAGTCCTCTATGACTGATGGAATTATTCTGCATTTCTGTAGAGAGTAATGCTAGAAGTTGTAGTCCCATATAGCTGTTACCATTCTGTGTTTCTGTAGAGAGTATTGGTGGGAGTTGTAGTTCTCTATATCCATTACCATTCTGCATTTCTGTATAAAGTATTGCTGGGAGTTGTAGTCCTTTATACAGAAATGCAAAATGGTAATGGCTATAGGTGGGCTGCAAAAAAAATCTTGCACCAGGGCCTTTTATTCCATAGGTCCGCCACTGAGTGTGATCCTCTCTAACGCAAAAGGAAATAACTAAATATATACCTGAAATACATATGTGTAAACATATGTGTTTTATGCCAAATAAGTAATTTAGGTTTTTTTTTATCCCAGATTCCATTGCCAGATCCATTTATTTTCCTTCACTGCAGTCAACACAATTCAGCTGTGATTGGATAGTAAAGAAGCAGTGGTCAGCTAATAATGTCACCCTTGTACATTCTCCTCCAATTAACTAGCTCCATTTGTTAGACTCAGAGCACTGTGCAAGGCCTGATTGGCTTCTAGAGCCTTCCACTTGCAGGATAAATGATGATGTGCAGGGAATCACAGAATGATAGTATGGTGACAGACTGAGTTACTATTTAAAATAGATTCAAGTATTCTTTAACTGAATTAAAAAGGGTCTTTTTGCCTACACTTACACTTTAAAGCAGAACTCCAGCGAAAATTATGATTAACCCTTGCAGTACGGTTTTCCCTGCACTGCAAGGGTTAACTGCCATTTTGGTCTAGTGAGGAAAATAACCAAGATATATTTACCCAAATCTTGCAGCTGGCCGACTGTGACAGTGCTTCCTCCTGCCTCTCTCCTATGCTGCAGCAATGACATTTTCCTCAGTGTCCCCACGTTCTATACACTGTGTATAGAATGTGATGATATACAGGACCTTAGACCACTGAAGCAGAAGGAGAGAGAGGCTGCAGGAGCCGGACTAAGAAAAAGTCGGCTCTGAGGATTAGGTGAGTATAGCGATGTTATTTTTCTCCCTAGACCAAAATGAGCACTTAATCCTTTCAGTGCGGGGGTAGCCCCACTGCAAGGGTTAATAATAATCTTCCCCGGAGTTGTTCTTTAAACTCTTATGGATGCACACATGCATTAGCTGCCCCTATCAACACCACTGTGGTACACTCCATCAAATACATGAAACGGAATAAAGCAGACCTTACTACTATGCATATTTTAGCTACAAATCTATTAACAGACAAAGAACTTATCTTCATACTCAGACATCTCACAGGGAGGAGAAAACGTTTACCAAATGTTTACTAGCAAGGTCCCTTGGGATAGGCAATGTAAATTCAAGCCAATTACTTGAAGCCACAGTACTTTCATTGCCTCTGCTTATATGAGAACATCAATTCTTACAAAGAAATGTTAATGCTTGTTTGCACTGTAAAATAGAAAAAATTCCCTGTAATAAGGATTAATGTTCAGCTTTGGAAGTTTTGCAATTAGTAGCAGATTAAATTATGAGACTGTCTCTTCTGCCAAAGTTAACTGCATCATATTAAACAGTTAAAATCCCGACTCATAAGAAAACATAAATGTAGGTCTCAGAGAGGCTAATGGAACTATAAGACCTGAAAGCTGGGCTGGAGCAACATGTTTTCTAACAAAGAATCCAAACAAGCATAAAACGCAGATAAAGATAATTAATCACTCAGCTTATTAGTTACTTCCATTATGTGCTTTGTTTGAAGCTTCCTTTTCATAGCATAAAATGGAATAGGTAGGAGATAACAGGATGGCAAATCTTCTTGCTCAGCCAGATTCTTTATTATTGAAACAAAGCACCACAAATTAATGATTACTATTTGAGCTGATTTTACTTGTGCAATATCTCTGAAACAAGGTTAGTACATTCTGGTTTATAACATTTCTTCTATATATTTTACTGTAAAAGTAACACAGTCTGCTGACAAAGAATGGATGTAAAGACAGAGAACTACTCCTTTCATGCCAGTTTGACAATCATCCATCTTCTAAACCAGACTTTGTACCATAGTTTTTACTCTTAATGTATATCAAGACTGACAATGACAGTATTGCACTCTTATGCACAAATTGGATAGTATCAACTGTCTGTAACACTCTCTTAAGACATGCAACTGTCTGCTAACTGTGCCTTCAAGGTGTATTTCAGTCAGATTCTGGCACTGCAATTTTAAAAAGCTCCATTTAGTCAATTTAAGCTGTACTGCTTTAAATGCAGCACTCTATCTTCTTAAACCAATTTTACATGATTCTTTCTATTTGCTACACTTTCTCAACTGGTCTACATGCACTGCAACTGTGGACGTTAGAGTATTTAGATATTCTTTATAAGAAGTAAAAGAGTATTAAAACAAGCCCTCATTGACCTCTTTAGCTGCATACAGTATATACTGTATATACCCAATTCATAATGTAATATAATTCATCCCCAAAAATCACAACAGATGCTCTAAAGTCCCAACTCAGTCGGTTTCTAATACGTAGCTTACAGCACCTACTGCCTGTTCATACTAGAGTGCTGGCAGGTTGCGAAGTCTCTGCTGCCATAGAAGAAAAGGGGAGATAAGCTGTGATTTCAGTGTTGTTGAAATGTAAAGATTATTTTTTTGCACAGTGTCTGTGGAGGTCACAAGTCATCTATGGCCTTTTTAAAGCTATTTTACTACTGATTAAGAATATAATGTACAAATACTTTAATGTCCATAGTCAGGGCACAAGTGTATCTGTAGCCTTATTTGGGGGGGTGGGGGGG